TGTTCAAAACGCTAAAGAGCCGTAGGATACATTGATTTTTCTTCCCTTCCTATAAAGAAAAAATGATGAAAGTCATGCAAAATGACTTTAACAAGTTAGCAGTTTAAGTTAAGTATATATCCATAATATACAAGCAAAATTAGTTGAACAGCAACTGATCAGTTGCTATCCTTAAAAGACTTGAGATGGTGGAGAAAAAGTCATGGAACGCTACTTCTCCTTTTCTTCTTCTCTACTTTCATTGTCAGATGTTTCAAATAGTCATTTTCGTCTTCCAGTCAGTTACCAAAGTTTTCTTGCTCTTGCCAGGAAAAACAACTGAAAAAGGTTATAGACATGCTGGGGTTTGATCAGATGAAGACGCAAAACTAAGGTAGGCGGGATGCAATATATACACATAGTTGCTGCTGTTGATAAGCACTGGTTTTGCTTTCATCCATCTGTCGGATGACAATTTTCTTAACAGTTGCGGTATATTTTTGCTATCTTAACATAAATACTCGAAGATTGGGTCTTCCCCATCACATATCGATGTTACGTGTCTTTTTAGATTTTTTCTGGTTTAGTTCAACAAGTCAAGAAGAAAACATATGAAGCATCTTTCAAAGAGTTAAGAAAATATATATAGGACTCTATGGATTTGCAAGTAGTCCACCTAATGCATCGATATAAAAAGCAAAATATGCACAACAACGATGGATTAGGATATAATCTGTCTTTCATCAGGCCAAATGAACTTGGATAAGATGTTGAACTGATTCAGTGATTAGCTTCCACTTCACTGATGGTACTCGTAAAAAAAAAAACTAACAAAAAGAAACTATAATTTGTGGTAGAGAGTGGATTATTGACCCTCTTTTTTAGGGTAATTACCATTCCTTTTATTTTATTTTTTGTTTTTATTGCATAACATGATGTCCCTTCAAAGGATCTTTGGTCGAATTGATTAGATATTGATCAAATCCGAAAGATTAAGGCAAGATTGAATATTTCTTCTTTTGAGCATGTGATTGCTGTCTTCATCCTGGATCACAAATTTAGTGTAGCTATCTCCACTGCCCTGCTTTGAAAATCGTCCTAACTTGTGATGAATGAGGTAACACGTATCAATTTGATCTTTATAAGATGTGGCAAACTCACTAATTAAGGAGAGGGAAAAGACAGTGAGGGATCATTAATTGTCAGGGGACCTTTGTGGTGTTCATTCATCAATCATAGTACTACTTTTTTTCCAACAAAAATATTGGCCAATGATGCATGGTTGAATATTTTCAGCACTTCAGGCTTGGGTTATTTGACATGCTTCCACCAAAATGGAAAAAGAAAACTAGACAAAGATTAGCAAAAAAAAAAGTCGTAATTATCTTCAAGGATGGCTTGAATAGTTGAGTTACATTAATTTGTCATGAAATTTTTGGAATCGTTCAGGTTGTACTCCACGCTTAGGATATTGGACATAGTCATAGACTTGTAGTATATAAAAGCAATGGTTTTTAGTTTTTAGAAGGCGTAAATCTTTAATGAATACATTTTTTTTAATATCTTACCTGTCTCAGGCTTTTTCTATCTCCAATCAACTGTCAGACACAAAATTCGAACCTGAACCTCACAGGGAAAAGGATCACTGGACTAATCCGATGATTCTCTCTAATGAATACTTACAACATCCTTAATGCAATGCTTTATATAAATCCCATTTCAGAATCTTATGTTGAAAACAATTTTACAGCACAATAAGTATGATATTTACTTTGACCCTCAAATTCTTAATAGGAATATATCCTACGTCCAATAAAGATAAAAAGAAAAGGATTTGGTCATGTACTAGTCCAATAATTACATTCTCTTCTGAGGACATGTTATTCATTCTTGGTTTACTAATTACGATGCACCTTCTTCGTGTATATGACACAAACTTTACCGAGATGAACAAGTCAAATAGACATCCTATATAGTAGCAAAAGTTTGATAAATTGAGGTTCAAAGTCTAGGATAATATGCCTGAGTTTATAAGATCATATCGTTCTCAACTCATGGAAAAGAAAACAAAAACAAATGAAAGCAATAATGATGTCTTAGACTTCTTAACAAGACACGTGACCACATGTTTGGAGATCTATAGTACAATTAGATGAGATCCATCTAATGATTTGGCTAATTTGACCACCTGAAACTCATGCTGTTATTTTTTTTTATGTTGTAGTTAATTAGAATCCATATTTCCAGATTGATTATTTCTAAAAAATACCAAGGAAAAGAATCCTATTAGGATCCGCACTATTTTATCTGCACCCTAGGTATTATGCTTAATTGACTTGGATCAATTTGTTTTAAGTTACAAAAAAAAAATTTTTTTGGGTAGGTAAGAAAGTTACAAAGGTATTTGCTTATGATTATTTTAGTGAATTCATTTTCTTTTACTTTTTGTATGAATTAAAAACTTTTCTCTAACTCATGAGTTTGGAACAGTTGGTGAGCGGGTTGCTAATACTAACGGGAGGTCGCAAGTTTGACTCCTGTGACGCCTTGAAAAGCTCTGGACCAGGCCTTCACCCCTAAATAAGAGTTGGACTCTGCAAGCCGAAATCCGGATAGTCATCAGTAGAGGGCGGAGGAAATTTCTCTACATATGCTCTATAATTCTTTTGAAGATTATGTCTAACGCATTTAGGTTCCTTACGGTTGCAGATACTTTACATTATTCTCAATTTTTCTCTTTTGATGCAAAATTAGTTCACTATTTACCAGCATAGGATCAGACAAAAATATGATAGAATAAAAAAATTTGTCAATCAGACAAAATGTATCAAAAAATTATCAATCCCGACTCCAATGGTATACACCCCATCAGTAGAAAGGCCGACAGATTACTGCCAAAGAAATATTTCAAAAGAGAAGACTTCATCACAACAAGGGTCAATTTTTTTCAAAATTAACTGAGTTCAAGAATAGGTAATTTGAAGAAAAGTCTGGCATTTTATATTGATTCAGTATTAGTCTTTTTAGCTATTGGGGGTGAATAAAAAAATTAAACACGCCTTGAAAAAGAAATTTTGGGATAATGCATTTATCATTTATGCCTTCAAGATTTTGTGGGATAGTGTATTTTGTTTAAATAACATAGCATAGTCACCTGAATTCAAGATCTTATATGCCATTTATATGTAGCTAAACACATCCGTTGCTAAAGCGGAGGTTATCAAAATAGAATTAGTATAAGAACACCATCCACCATTCATTGATTTTTGTGTATTACCAGCTTAAATTTTGTGAATCAATCTGCAGTTTTCGAAATGGATGGCAAAATATTTTGCAGCATGTTGGAGACATGCACATTCATTATGCACATTGAAATTAAAACTCTTGTAGCATTATCTGACTAACTGAATTAAATGCAGTAACATTTGGGATAAAAAGTGTAGCATGGTTGATTACTTCTTTTGTTATCACATAGATAAGAATATCAATTTCATTTCTTTGAGAAAATATAGCCCTGATAGTGATATTGACTTATAATTGGCAATTAATTTTGTCCCAATTAATTGAGGGAGGGAAAAAAAAAAAAGGACCACAAACACAAAGAGGCCGACCAAAGCTAAGTTACAATCGAATTCATAGATTTAGAGGCAGAAGTTGGATGGTTGTTGGAAGCCACGCTCTACTATAAATGCTTGTTTTGAAGTTACACATCAGAACTTGTAGGGTTGGTTGCATTGCCTTCCCCTTTTGTGAAAATATGGTAGTTTGAATCATAGTCATGATGAAAACAAGTTGCTTAATTAGCTAGCTATTCAACATTGTCCTTTTTTGCTTCGATAAAATCCAAGTGGGATTATGATGCTTGGTATCAACTTGCACAAGGGAAGTTTGCTTTAAATAATTGTTTGAGTAGAATGTCCTCCAACTTTATATTTTTTTTGCATATTATACATGTGCTCATTTCTTCAGGAAATCCAAATTTGTATGCACTCAAAAATAAATGTTTGAATTCAAAGTCGGTCATAATCTGATGTGGAAAGTTATAGAAGTATGATAATTGCCGTGATTTCCTAGATATCAGTTGTTGTCAAATGCAAGCAAAAGCTATTGCTTAATGCCATTAAATATCTTTGTTTCAAAAACCATAATGATGTTCTAACTTATTTAAGTTGCCAATTAGGCCACATGAGTTGGTTAATGCAATTTTTGTATTATTGTATGTGTGCTCATATGCAAGTAAACAGGTGTGAATTTGAAGAAATCCTCTTGGAAATGGATCGTATTTTGCGGCCTGAAGGGACTGTGATCATCCGTGATGGAGTCGATGCCTTGAATGAGGTGAGAAAAATTGCTGGAGGAATGAGATGGGATATAAAATTGGTCGATCATGAAGATGGACCACTTGTGCCCGAAAAGATATTCGTTGCAGTCAAACAATACTGGGTTGGCAGCGCAGGAAATAGCACAACAGACGATGCATAAACCATGTAGATTGTTGGATATACAAGGCAAGCTAACAGTTGCTGCAAAGCAGAAACTATACAGCTACACTTGGAGATTTCTAATATCTTAAAACTCTTTTAAATACTGGATTCCATAGATTGCAGATTTACTTGTGCAACTTTCATTATAGAGCATTTTTGGCTGAATGTTCTGGTCTGTCTTGGAGGGCCGGCTGAGCGAATGCCATAGCCCTTCAAAAAGTGGAGCAAGAACTGCTCAGTAAAACTGTGATATCTACTTGCTTTAGCTTAATTAGCTAGAGCAACATTTAGTGATTAGTGACTAGCTTCATTTGAACAATTATTAAAATATAGACATCATTTCTTCTATCACTGAATAGTAGCCACAATAAGAATTTTTGCTGAACATCTTATCTATGAGAACTAATTGTTTTCATGCCGTGTGTCCTTGACTAATTCCCTGATTCACCAATATTGACACAGAAAGTAAATTTTATTTGGTCACTAATCAATTACAAACAACTAACAGTGGTGTATTTGCTAGATTACTTTCCTCTTAACTTCAGATTAACAATTTCTAGGTATAAGAAAATGGAAGCATGCATAACTCCTTCGCCTGAAGTAAAAAGTGTTGCTGAAGTGGCTGGTGGAGAGTTGAAGAAGTTTCCAGCTAGGCTCTTTGCCGTGCCTCCCCGAGTTGAAAAGTTGATGGTCCCAGGAGTGACAGTTGAATCTTATGAGGAGGATAATAAACTATGGAAAAAACATGTTAGTGTGTACAAGAAGATCAACAGCTTACTGGGCACCACAAGATATCGAAACATAATGGATATGAATGCAGGCCTTGGAGGTTTTGCTGCAAATTTGGAATCACCAAAACTATGGGTAATGAATGTTGTGCCCACTATAGCTCAGAACACTCTGGGCATCATATATGAGAGAGGTCTGATCGGCATGTATCATGACTGGTATGCTCTGATACTCTTGCCATAATTCTGTGCATTATCATGGTTGTAATTTGTGTTTATAATTATATTCTGCCTTTGGTCTTCCGTACTAGCATTAGCTTGTTTTATCATTTGACATATTGATCCTTATTAGTTATTTACAAGGACTTTGTTCTTCTTCTTCCTCTTCTTATGCGAGAAAGGCAAAGGGTTTCTTTTGTGTTAGCTCAATTGGCAGTATTCTTAAAGTAGTATCAGAGATGTCTTGGATATACAAAGCCATGGAATGCAAGTTGGCGCTATTCCATAGTTTTCTTCATTATTATGCCAATAGCGAGTCTATTAATGTTTCAATATTGGGACAACTGAGATGAAACCTTTATGTGTTGAATATCCTGATGTTCTGTTACGTATTTCCTGCTCTCTTACTTGGTTCAGGTGTGAAGGCTTCTCTACTTACCCAAGGACATATGACCTCCTTCATGCTAGTGGCTTATTCAGCTTGTACCAGGATAAGTAAGCTTTTCCTTCCCTTTGGGCTGAAAGCAAATGCCCTTATCTTACTCTTCATTTACTATTTGTACCATGAGGACGACATGCAGGAAGAGCTCTCTAGTGATTGAGAGAACTCCACTTATCTTCAATTATGTGTTATGAAGTTAAAAGTCTGAAATTCGAGAGACTTCTAGGTTATAAAAAGGGGATTAGATTTTTATTTTTGGCTGCTGTGTAATCGGGATCTGGTAGGTAGTGTTTGTCGTAGAATTACCCACAGGAAGTGTTTATGCCTTGCATGCATTTTGATCTCCCTAATAGAACTTCAAAGTTTCAGATCAGATTGAGCTGAAAAAACAATTTGGTTGATCCACACCATGAGTTGACTCCACGGAGATCTTCCCTAACTTGGAGGGGCTCCATATAGGGTGACATTGTTGTTCCTGTGAAGTAGGGATTGTCTTTTCAACATTTCCTTTGGGTTCAGTGAATGTCTTGTGATAAAAACTTATTCCATTATCCGTGACAGAGTTTGGAATCTTCATGGACTGTTTTTTCGGTACGACCTTGAAATTGGGCTCTAGAATCAATAGATCTCACTATGTTCTGATATCATTGCCATTGTCAACATTTCAACATTGTCCTTTTTTGCTTCGATAAAATCCAAGTGGGATTATGATGCTTGGTATCAACTTGCACAAGGGAAGTTTGCTTTAAATAATTGTTTGAGTAGAATGTCCTCCAACTTTATATTTTTTTTGCATATTATACATGTGCTCATTTCTTCAGGAAATCCAAATTTGTATGCACTCAAAAATAAATGTTTGAATTCAAAGTCGGTCATAATCTGATGTGGAAAGTTATAGAAGTATGATAATTGCCGTGATTTCCTAGATATCAGTTGTTGTCAAATGCAAGCAAAAGCTATTGCTTAATGCCATTAAATATCTTTGTTTCAAAAACCATAATGATGTTCTAACTTATTTAAGTTGCCAATTAGGCCACATGAGTTGGTTAATGCAATTTTTGTATTATTGTATGTGTGCTCATATGCAAGTAAACAGGTGTGAATTTGAAGAAATCCTCTTGGAAATGGATCGTATTTTGCGGCCTGAAGGGACTGTGATCATCCGTGATGGAGTCGATGCCTTGAATGAGGTGAGAAAAATTGCTGGAGGAATGAGATGGGATATAAAATTGGTCGATCATGAAGATGGACCACTTGTGCCCGAAAAGATATTCGTTGCAGTCAAACAATACTGGGTTGGCAGCGCAGGAAATAGCACAACAGACGATGCATAAACCATGTAGATTGTTGGATATACAAGGCAAGCTAACAGTTGCTGCAAAGCAGAAACTATACAGCTACACTTGGAGATTTCTAATATCTTAAAACTCTTTTAAATACTGGATTCCATAGATTGCAGATTTACTTGTGCAACTTTCATTATAGAGCATTTTTGGCTGAATGTTCTGGTCTGTCTTGGAGGGCCGGCTGAGCGAATGCCATAGCCCTTCAAAAAGTGGAGCAAGAACTGCTCAGTAAAACTGTGATATCTACTTGCTTTAGCTTAATTAGCTAGAGCAACATTTAGTGATTAGTGACTAGCTTCATTTGAACAATTATTAAACTCGCTCCGGTCATATTTCCTGCCTTCCTTTTTTTCATAAACTGTGAATTATTGCAGCCAGATGTACTATTTGATTTGTTAATGTTTTCCTCTTAAGAATTCTCATCCAATTGGTCAAGGAAATTTATTCCACTTTTGGACATAGGCTTCGAGTTTTACCCCATCTTCCTTCTTCCTTCTTTACCGCTCTCTTTAAAAAGAAATTTAGAAATTATCCTGACCATTTTTTTAATTCTTTATGGGGACTTTTTCAAAAATTCCACAATAAAGCCAGAGTTAAACCTTTCTTTCTGAATTTTTTTTTTCAAATTCTTTTATACCAAGTCTTTTCTTGGCAAGGAAAATGAAGATTGACCTATTAGAACATGTATCAGAGATTTGAAGAAACTCATAGAATATATATCATAATACAAACGCCAGAATCATTTCTCTCTCTGTCCTTTAGTTCTTTTCTTGAATTTATTTAGGTTAGGTCATTCAAGAATTTGTCACTAAGAAACGTGTCTCACATTTAAAGCAAAATGAAAAGCGAAGGGACCGTACCAATAATTGATTGATTCTCAGTGTTAGCACCACCAAGGGAACAGAACGTGCAATTTTATCAACTTTGTTGTCTCATGATGCAAGTTTTTCTTTCTGTAATCAACAGGTAATGCCATACTGGGTTTTCCATGAGACTATAATATCTGTTCTTAGAAATAAGAGATATTAAAAGAAGATAAAAAAAAAAAGGACAACGAAGCACAGTTTAGACAGTAAAATGTTTTATTTGTATCTGACAAGTCACTAGTTCTAGTTATCAATATTGACGGAAATCCACTGAAAAAGATGGCTCGTGAAAGATCCTAAACTTAGAACAAATCCATAGCAGAATATCCTAGTTGTGGTGGTGGAAATTGGGCAGCTTCCTATTCTTGAAGATGTGAAAGTCCTTCACTAAGAACCACACAAAGATAAAAAAAAGGGAGGGGGGGAAAGGGGGGTCCTTCACTAATTAAGTGGTGGCATAAGCTGCCTACCTCGAGGGCCTCCTAAGATTTGTTCATTTTGCATTACATCTTGAATGCACTAAATATCGTGTTTGATTCGTACAAGTCTAAACCAAAAAATATATATATATTGGAATTAAATTGAAAGATGAAATAATGTTATTTTGCAATTTTCTTTAATAACCATAACTTTTGCGATAATGTTATTATATTCATATCACAGTCTAGCACTCTAGAAAGAAATCTACGAGACATTATATTCATGTCAGAATTTATTATTGTAAAAAGAGTTCTCTTTACTATCTTTTTTTTTTTTTCATTTTCTCACAAAAAGCAGAAGATTCAACTCTACAATAAGAATAGGAAGGAAAAGTATACTAATTGGTAGACAACTCCAGCTCTTTAGTGAGTAATAATGAGATTGGCTATTATGTTCAGATAGCTATGCATATGTTATAATGTATCAGCAAAATCATCTTAAAATCTTGATCTTTTTTTCTTTCTCTCTGTTAAATATTTATCCTTTAGCCTGGTACTAGCTATAGGAGGAAAAAAAAAGCCAATATCACGATGTTTAGTCAACCACCAAATTAGTGTATTAACTTTCTTGCGAAACACAAATTCCACTAACTATTAACTTTGGAGGTTAGGTTTATGTTCCTCAAAAATCAACTCCATTATTCTCCATTCTATGGATCAAGAATCAAATTTTTATCTTACCAATTGACCAAAAAAAAAAGAAAAAACAAAGAAAGAAAGGGATTTTGTTTGTGATATACGGCTTCAAAAAGGGTGGAGAAAAAACAACATTTCAACATCTTGAAGGGCTCTCTTTTTTTTTTCTGGTTTGTTAAGGCCATTGTTTTCATTAGTCAAGGAAATAGATAATGCCAATGACTGACTTAGCATGTGATGAGGCAGTGACAACAACGGACAAGATCAAGAAGTCTAGTTTATCTCTAACAGTAACAAGGACATGAAATTTGTGAAGTAAATTTTGCCAAGACTTGCATTAAGTAGCCACTAAACATTGTGAAGCAAAAACCTATGGGCTTACAGCTGATCCGTGTGCCTGTTTACTCTGTGTACTGTGTGAGTGTGTGTGGGCATGTCTGCACCTACCAGAAGCACGAAGAATCCCTTGGTTTAAGTGCTGGCCAACAATACATAAAACCATAATTGATCAAGACAGGATATTCAGCTCACCAGTACTCGTTTGTTGCATCAAAGCATATGTGGGCAGCCAAAAACAGTAAAAGCCGGTACAATGATTGCTTGAAACCAGAAAAAAAAAAAAAAGTGATCAATTGATCAAGGCTTTTTAGGTTGAGAATTCAATATCGTGATTGAAAGTGTTAATTAGCTTGCTAAATTTTGCTTGTTGAAGGGGAGAAAGAATATATGATCAGCTCCCTTGCCATATTTGTGAAGCATCTGCATAATTATTAATGCAGCAGGGAAGAGAGTTGAAGATGCCAACTAGCTGGATTTGTTGGTGTAGAAAAAGAATGCAGCTTTATGGACAGTGGTTAACTAATGGATTGCTATTTCTTTGAATCATCTTGGTGATTATGCCGTGCTTGGGCTATATTATTTTATGTGCCTGTGAAGCAAATTGGCAGATAATTTTGCGTCTTTTCAAGAAATCCAGGATCGATGTCATTATATATTTATTGTACCTAAATTAGTCTATTACTACTGGAACTCAAACACGAAAATTATAGGATCATTTGGTTGTGTATGGTCTGATTTGGTCCCATTAAATTCATGTCTCTCTTCCATTGTTCTTGTAAAATTTATCTTTCAATATGCTTTTCTACAAGTTCTAAGTTTCACTTTGTACCAAAAAATGCACTTCCATGTTATCTTCTTCTTCTTCTTTTTTTTTTTTTGGGGTCAAACGCCCATCTGGGCTTATATAAAGGGGTTGAAGGAGGTTGGATCCTCCATTAATTATTGCATCCTCTGGAATTTTTGAGAACCCTCGACCTAATGGATTTTAAAAAGTCCTTCCTTCCTTCCAGACCAATTCACTAAGTCGAGTTGGTTATGCTATCCATTTTCTTGACCCTCGACCTAGGGTACAATGTCACCAAATTACACCAATTTCACCTAGTACAATGTCCCTCTTGAACAATGATTCAATAATACATCTAATTAAGGTGTAAGTTGAAAGCCACATCCAATTAGTAGACAATACAACTACCCTGTTTGGATTGGACTGTTTCTTGCAAATTGTTTTTTTTTTTGCCTACAATGGCACAATAACACGTTCCAAAAATAATCTAAAAAACACCTAATCTATACATACATTCTCAAATACAACTGAAAAAAATTAAAAATAAAATAATTCCTACCACACAACACGATCACCGCCCACCACTGCCACCATCCCTCCCCTCCTACACCAGAAAAGTATCTTATATCAGCCTTAAAGATCTCAACGTCGGAGTGTTGAGATCTCAATGAATATGACCTCTGTACATGCATGCAAGGGTAATTGGAATATGAATTTTTTTTTTTTTGGTCAAATTTTGGACTATGAATGGGAAAACAAAAAAAGAGCTCTCTCTCTCTCTCTCTCTACCGATTGCCAAGTTCAGAATTGGCAGTAAAGAGTCCTTTCCTCACCACTGAAAGCTATTTATGTTATAGATAAAGAGTTATTAACATCTAACCTCTAGTTTGTCACAAATTTGTCATCTATGCAACTCAATTGAACGTTAAATGTTTAGATTCTCTGATTTTTGACGTGATCAAGTTGATAATGAGGGCTCTAGCTCTATATATAGATATATGTATATATCAGCATGAGTAAAGGTTTAAGGATGTTCATTAGCTATGAGCTCAGGCCAGACCGCTAGTACACATGTATATCTACGTATTCACCCACCGACTATACTAAAAAGTTCTTGTTCATAGTCGTAGTGTTGCACCAATAATTGGAAATTAACGTACGGACACTATAGTGAGAAGACTGAACAATTGTCTGCCTCGTGGCACGTAGTCGTCTGAGCTTCAGGTTGCGAAACAATTCTGGAAGCAGACAAGTAAATGTACCAAAAAAATGACAATTATCTGCCATCGTCTAATTTTTTACAAGATTAACGTGGGATGTTGTCGTCTGGGATATTGCATTATTATTGCATCTTGTTGTTCTACGGAAGTAGCAATAATTTTCTTTTAGCTGTTTATTTGGTTCCATTTTTTCTGCTAAAGGCAGTTGATCTTAAGTAGAACTTGTGAAGTTTGACATCTTCTGAATGATGCTCAATGAGAGAACTGAACACAAAAGTACTTGTATTAAGGGTCTAGGGTAGATGGATAGAATTTTAATCCTAATTTACCTTGACAATCTCAAACAAAAGCTTGCAAAGGTTTATCAATTTGGTGCATGTCTACTGTATTTTGCCAATATGAAAGAGAATTAAAAGATCAAATATATATATATAGTCAAGAGCCTCGAAGGCTTTCTTTGGACTAAGCCATTGTATTCCAGTCCAGTATATATCTACCGGCCAAATTCGTTATCATCTTGGTGTAATGGTAGGGAAGACTGGTAGCTGAGCTGCAATTCCTAATTTCTTACTCAGTTGCTACATTTTTTGGAGTTGCCTATTCATTCGGTTAAGGCTGGTGCATGTTTTATCCTATTGGCGTCCTGAATTTGTTTTCTTGATTATGTCAGCCAGAGGAAACATCAGAGTTTTTGAGCTTTTATCTATACAAAGTAAAACTGGACTCTTACTCAGGATTCAACGAAGAGTAACTGCCTATGGGAGAGAGACAGACAATCCGAACTTGTCCTCTCCCGATGGGAGGGAGCCGTTCAGCAAAAACCTCATCCATCCTTTCCATGGAAAAGAGATAGATAATCTGGCCTTTTCTCATGGGAGGGAGCTTTCTCTCTAATTTTATTTCTTTTGTTTAAATAAATTATTTTTTAGGATTTTTAGTGAGAGATTCTTCTCTCTTAAAATTTTTTTAAGGACAGTTTTATTCTCTTCTAAGATGTCCCTATGATATATATTTTTTTAATCTGTTTTTGTGAAATATGAGACATTTG